CGACAACATTGATCTCTATGGACACTCGGCGTTGAGACGAGTGCCCATAGAGATCAATGTTGTCGGAGCAGCGCAGAGGACGGCTTATTTAGATAAAAATGAGGTTGTAGTTCGTTGTGTGAGCTACTACGGTTGTAAAGAGGCATTGGCTGTGTTTTAAAAATGTCTCGATTACGAGTTATTGACGCGGGAAGCGCGAATCTGTGAATATGTTGCTAACTTTACTGCAGTGTCTCCGTACGGGGATGGAGGAGCCTCTGGCTGAACCGGGGAACGCAGATTAACGCGGATATCTGCTGGGTTTCTTTGTGTCTCCGGTCCCAGAAGCGGGTCCATAACCAGATCCAGCCCAGAGGGGCTTTAGCAGCCTCTCAGGGCTGGGACTGGACCCCTGGCTCATTTAGAGCCAGTAAAAAGTCAAGTTTGACCCCCTGGTTGAATGCTGCTTTCGCCATAACCCCAGCTCTTCTTCCCCTGCTTGTGGATATATATATATATATATATTTAACACACATATATATGTTTATGTTCAAATATTGGTGAGTTGGTTCAAATATTTCATCAGAATACTCTGTAATTCCTAGAATTGGTTCCAAAAACCTACGATAACTCCTTAATAAATACTGCAGATAATTACATATAGCAAGAAAACAAATGACTTCTAGAAGAGAGATGGAAAAATAAATAAATGATAAAGAAATAATCAGTAAAAAGGGTTTTTATTGTCCCTTTAGCTCAGAGACTGAATAACGGAGGTAGAGGTGGTTCTCTTGAATTAATTTCTATATTTTATATGTGTTTCTGTGACTTTGACGAAGATATTGGAAATTTTCTTCGGGTGTGGAATTGAATCTTTGATCAAATTTCACTTCGTATGTTGTGTATGTTTAGGCGTCAGAATCAAAAGTTCTGCTGTTTACATATGTATAACATTTAAAGAGAACCATCGACCCATCCATTTATTCATCCATCCATCAGTCCAACCTTCAGTCCCTCCCTCCACCCTCCTATAGGACCCATGTAGGACCCCTGTAGGAATCCCTGTAGGACCCCTATAGGACCCCTATAGGACTCCCTGTAGGACTCCCTGTAGGACCCCTATAGGACCCCTGTAGGACCCCTATAGGACCCCTATAGGACCCCTGTAGGACCCCTGTAGGACCCCTATAGGACCCCTATAGGAACCCTATAGGACCCCTGTAGGACCCCTATAGGACCCCTATGGGACTCC